AGAGCCACAAGCACAAGGGTCGCCACCTCGTGATAGGCGGAAGAAGCGATATGAAGAAAGGCATGAAGAAAATCAAAGGGGTGCTGCTCCTGAAACGCAGATGGGGCAGGTTGAAATCCAAGAAAGGCCTCAACAGGCAAAAGATTTGTTAGCCTTGCCGGATGTCCCTTCAGGATGGCCATGTGGTCCACATTGCTGCATTGAGCACTGTCGCAACTTTGCGAAAGCACTGTCTGATTGTTCCCTTCGGGAACTCGCTACCAGCTTCTGGTCATCCTCGAAGGTTGTCCCGGTGACAAAGACACGCGGGGTATTCAAGGCAGACGGCGAAGAGCTTGCAGTGGCTGAGCTCAGGGAGGTGCGGGAATGCCAAGTGGCAATGAAGGCCTACAAGCCGAGCACCCGTGCGCTTCAACGTGCATCATGATGTGCATGTTCAATCATCATGTGAACTCATGTGTTCATGGAATCACAAGGGCGTACATTTCGCTGGTGAGAATCTCTTTCTTTAGATATAAACCAGCTGCTTTTGCTGTTGTAGCCATTACCACAATTGGCAGCAATCGAGTGCCGATTTGGTAATCAGCTGCTTGTCCTGCTCAACGTCGCATGTGTGCAGTCAGTTCCTTCAGAATTGCAGTCCGACATTTCCTAGTTTTACGGAACATTTCTTGTCTTCGAGCTGACTTCATTTGCTGAACTTGACTTTAGCGTACAATTCGTGCCCACAAGAGGCTGTCACGAGTGCACAGGCGATGCTGTGCTCCTCTGATTCAAAAAGTCTTGCCAGACTGTCTTTCTTTATTCTAGGGTGGTTGCTAGTAGGTTGGAGGCCATGGCTATTGGGGCGAAGGCTTGATCCACATTTTCTTGCAGATCCATGTCTTGTCCATGTCTGTCTGTCGACTTCTGTATCCTTGCTCAGCTCCAGGCCATCCTGCTCAGCCTGGTGTCGTTGTCCCCCAACCTTCAGCGTCGCTTGGCGGAACCCGAGGCAAAAGGCAAAGGACTTGTGGAAGCGGCCATTCTTCTCGTTCCGAGGGAATGCTTTGTGCTTTGTTTTTGCACAAGTGATAGTGGGGAGGGGGACATGGGGTAGTACCTGTGGGTACCTCAAGCCCCTCAGTAGAGTGAGCATTTCCAGGTCCGATCTACAAATTCCGATTTAGTCTAGGATGTTGAACACGAACTGCGAGTGAGAGTGTGCTTGGAAGCACCTGATCAGAGATATGGACTTGTAAGGCTTGGATTTGTCCTACAACGACCTGGGCCCCAAGGGATGTGACGGGGCTGCAGATTGGATTTGCCAAAGTTGAACTCCTCCCGCTGTGCTTTGCACATTACGTGTTCCAGGTTGTGTGTGTAAACATCGCTTCATTACAGCATTTGCTTTGAGAACTGTTCCACATTGTTGCACGCACTGTTTTGAGCTGGGGAAGGTGCAGACATGGTGAAGTGGATGGATCAGAATGACAAGGACCTTTGGCAAGCCTGCTAAGCCCGCTAAGCCCACTACTGGCTCGGCCAGACATCGTGAGCGGTCGCTTCTTCACTGTCATTTGGGTTTTCTATGTGTCGGTGTGCCAAGCAAGGGTATTTGGCAAGTCTTCTGCAGAGATTCGGGGGTGCAGCTGTAGGGCTTCAAACAGTTCACACAAAGAGGAACGCACAGCAGTAATGTCAAGTGGCAATCAGGCTGGGCACCGCACTTCTGTCAACGGTTCAGGGATGGAATGCAATGAATCCAATGTTTTATCCAACAGACCAAACGGAATTCCACAATATTATCACAATATTCAAAAATCCCCGCTCCTCTTCTTCGCAAGGAGTCCTTCTCTTTATGCTTCTTGGAGCTTTCGGGTTGCAATCTCGCGGATGAAGGCTTTCAGCTTTTGGCCTGGACACCGAGAACAGAGGGAAAACGGGGGGCCACTGGGTAGTGTTGAGGATGTCACTGAAAGCCCAGGGGATAAACAGGCCTGCTTGTAGACTCTTTGATGACCACATTGTCTTTTAAAGGGCGTTGGCGCTCAGCACAAGCCGAGCGTCCTAGTAGCGTCCTTGCTAAGGCCAGGAGCCCCTAGTAGCGCCCTTGCTCCTAGTACCGATGCCCTTTGCTCCTAGTAGCGTCCTTTGCTCCTCAAGATATAATTACCTGATAAGTGTTTGTGCCCCATAGTGGAGCGACAGTCAGGTGCCCATCATGGGATCTCTTCGATACCTCGGCAGTGGGCTCAGAGTGGCCAACGTGAAGTCATATGGCCGACGCATACAGGACAAGTCTTCAAGGTTGGAGGCCATCGCTATTAGGTTGGAAGCCTTTGCTATTAGGTT